ACATTATTGTACACTTGTCAACATCTGATGGTGTCCTTCGGTCATTATTTCTGTTCTTTTCGTCTGAACTCTTACTTCATTTTTTTTGCAGATAAAAAAGATGCAAAGACCAAAAATTTCCGTTAACTGCTCACATGAACCTAAATAATTAATAAAATGAAAAATGAAACCTTAAGCACAGTATATAGTTTTAGTCGATGTCTGATGCCCGAGAGTGAAGGTTGCATTTAAATGTGCCTGTGACTGGAATTTTGGAATCTGTTAAGTCTTGATCTTTATGCGTCAGAATTTCACTTCTGGTAATCTGAAATTTCAGATAATTTATTCCATTGTTATGAATTCCAGAACTGGAATTTCTGGTTTAAAGGGACGTTCGATATATGAACAAGCTGCGGGAACACTGTTCGAAGAGAATACGGATCAGACGTACGCTTCAGAACTTTTGACGACGTCTTAGCAGATTTTGGAAACTAGCTTTTTGAGATGTACGTACCTCTGTGAAATTATAGACCTCTTTTTTATTTCTTTTGAAATTTGAAAGATATTTGTATGTAGAGATTCGCGGTTTATGCTCCTTCAAAACTGTTGTTGTAAGTCGAGGCAGCTTTTAAAAGTTAACCAAACGGCCGCTCTTGAATCATAATAGAAGTTGTTTCTGTTGATATTTATATGCTCAAGCTCTGTAATAAAGAGACGCCAAATAGAATAAAGGGCAGTTTATCAAGACAGCGAAAGGAATTATAAACCAAAGTTAATTTAATGTTCATTTCTGCTGTGTTAATGGTCATACTGAAGCGCGTACACACACCAAACAGTAGTAGTAATTACATATTATCCCAACCTGATAATCTCCTAGGAATGGGGTTTAAGCTACATTACTGTGTTCATGCCCCAAATTCCACTTGACAGAATTTTCGAGCCACGAACGAATCCTGGGTAGATTAGACTTTGGTATTTAATTCAGAAGGATTATCTGAGATAAAACAAAAATTGAGCCTTTATACGATGATTACTAAAAGAGTTCATAACCAGCAAAACTGCGTTGAAAGTAATCATGAAGAAGGAAGTGCTTATCGCCTTCATTATCTGCATTTAATTAAAAGAATGGCATTTGTAATGTTTAGTTTGCGCTGTGTAAGTTTTAAGTGCGGGGTTTATATACACACACATGTCGTTCCCATGTATATTTATTATGGGAAGATACGTCTTTCAAGTGCGGCTTCGCTTGGCCATTTAACATAGTGGTTAAAACTTCTGATTGTATTTGAGGTAGCGGTGAAAGAAAGATGTTACCGTGTTATTAAAATTAATATCTAAAATATTGTAGATTAACAGGTTGAAGTTGTATACATATATGTATATATATATATATATATATATTCTGTGAAATTATGTTAGGCCGTAATGTAATAGATGAACGTTGTAACAGGAAATATCGCATCTTATTTCTAGAATCTTTTAATTTGTCATTTTCTCTGCATTAAAAACTGCTAGAGTTTAGATTTAGGCCGAGTCGGGTTGTGTTTCCTTCCATTAGCCTTCGTGCAAATTATATTTATGCCGAAATAACGCGAGTTGGTCATTATGTTTACTTCTAAAAGAACCGCTTATATTATGTATCCTTGCTTCATAGTTAAAACAAATTTAATATTTTATTCAGTCACACATAAAAAATGTGATATAATCCACTGCACTGATATCCGCTTCAGCGTGCGAGCCGTGGATTTACGTCATATTGTATTCTAGGGCATGAGGTCTTCATGAAAAATTACAAATAATGGGAAAGGAGCAGTCAAGTTCAGGAGTAATTTTCTCACGAGTACAGCAACGCTGAGAAGTTGCTTGTTTTAATTTCCTTTACAAAATCTTAAATTTGCAAGAATACATAAAATTGTCGTCGTCAAGAATTTCAGCTTCTCATTGATTGCCACTTGTATGAATAAAGATAATAATTTTAAGATAGTGTAATGGCGTCATATTGTGAATATTCTAACAATTATTTATTTTAATCCGTCTTATCACAATATTTAAAATTTCTTATAATTAAGATAATAAAACATCATTGATGTTCCATATCGATTGATCGATTTAAATCGATGATGTTTTATTATCTTAATTATAAGAAATTTTAAATATTGTGATAAGACGGATTAAAATAAATAATTGTTATAATAATTTTAGTTTCTGCTGTCTTTAATAAATGATTTTAGAATTATATCTGCTGTTGTGTTTTTATTCATCTTTGCTTCCTTTAGCATGAGAACGAATATGAAAGTGGAAAGAATGCCATTGCAGTAGAAAATGGGTAGGTTAGGTTATGTTTAATTTTTCACTTTTCTGTGATTGTTCCGCGTGGAAGTAAGAACAGTAATGTTCATGCTTATTTTGATATGTGCTACATTAAATATCATCGAGCCATGCCATGAAATAGTCATTTAATTACCAAATTTACTATTAGCTTTTGCTTGTTTACTGGCCCGTGGGAAGCAATATTGTAATTTGTCTTTGTTGTTTAAGTTTGGAAATGAAGAATGTGTTTGCTTCTGAGATGATTATGATTATAGAGGTATCCTGATATGTGAGTAAAATTAGCTGATGTAAAGTGATTGATAATATATTACCACTTCATCCAGAAATTTCAAAGTTTCTCTAATTTTTCATCTAGGTTGTCCCTATATAAATTTTAGTTAATTCAGAATCCGAATCCTCCCTTAAACAATGTATTATTTATAACTTTTGGACATTTGTGAGGGTTTAAGAGTCTAATAGTTATTTAATTTTGAATTTAATGAAATTGAAGGAAAAAATATATTTTTATATGAAATCTTGTGAATGAAGTTACATTTTTATAAGGAATAATCTAATTTGAATGTCGACGTCAAAATCTGAATTGTAATTTTGAGGATCTTTGCCCTTATGCTTTCGTTATCCTAGCGTTAATAAAATTATAGAATACTGAAAGTACTGGTGTTAACAAACAAACCATAGAATGTACAACGTTATCTTTGAAAATGATAATGTCGTGATAATGGTGATTTGTAAGATATCGGATTTAGAGCTAACCGTACTGTATTATACAAGTCGCTACTATGTGAACTGAGCGTGTCATATGATCTGTGGAAGGAATCTTTAACCAGCACAAGTTGTCAGTCCTGAATGATAAGTTCGAATGACGTAAACAGAGACGTGTTTTTTGGTATGGTGTAATTTTATTGAATACCACGTTGTGATGGACTGTTTTTGAACTTGTTATCTGAGTGTAAGCATGTTATCTGTGTTAAACTGTTTTGGTGTGAGTGGCAAAATATCTGCATCAACCAGCACATTGAAATATAAAGGTTAGTGATGCCATAACCTGCATACCACTGGGGTTTCATTTTTCCATCGTGTGTGATGGGGAGATCCCAAAGTTTGACTTAAAATACAGTAAGATACTAATTAAAATAAACTAACGTATGTTGCAAGCAGATATAATGATGTATCCTGCTGTCAGATAAATGAACGATTTCCTTGCCAACTTATGAAAAAAATTACTGACTCGTGAATCCGTATGTACTATTGAACAAAAAACAGCCATTTCTTCTAATGTGAAAAAGTATATATATTCATTGTCCCAAACATTATGCACGCCGCCATATTAAGTCAAGCTTTGAAATAAACGGATTGAATTTAAGTTCACTGTTAATTTTATACATAAAAATTAGCTTACAATGTAGATAACTGACCTGAAAGCATTCTCAAAGCCCCCCTGGCTTAAATTTTCATTGTCATCTGTGTAGCGTTTTTCTTCTTTCAATTTTTGATCCGAAAAATTAAAATTTGTCCACAAGTCTATCCTGCTGTAAAATTCAGAAGACCAGCATCAATATATACGTAAGTAGATTTCGGGTTCACCGTTTCTAGTTTTGTTTATCGACACATGAACTGCACGGGTTATATAATGTCGAATTATGGGTGATTCTGGGTTATAAATTTGGGTGGATGGGATATAAAACTACCGCGGTCTATTTTTTATTATCCTCAGGGAATTGCGTGTAGAGGATCGATAACCTAACCATATGATTTCACGATTATGGGTGGGTTAGTGTTACGACACACTTAGTTGTCGAGATTTAGCATCGAGAGTATCGAATGGTCTAAATATCGATGGTGAATACAGGCAACTCTCGGTTTACGAACATTCGCTATAACGAACGTCACAATTCATTCAAAGTTTCATTAAGTCGCCGATAGATAGAGTTCCTTATAAAACGAAATGCCAAACGTATAGTGAACATAATTTTAAGATTCAAATAAATAAACTTTTAAAAAATGTACAATAAGTATCAGAGAATTATTATACGATAATTATACTAAAGCTATGATCCTGAATTGTATTTAGCGATTTTCCTAGATTCCGGTTGTACGCAACTTCAGCATGAACATAAGCAGTTGTAAGACAACATTTACGTATATCTATTATGGAATGTTAATCCTTACTTTTATTGTCCCAACATTGTAATAATATGTTTATGGATTATGTGTATTCTCGTCTCTTGTATAATATTAATATTTTATCTGGAACTGTCACAGCGACTTGATAAAATAAACTTCTCTCGGTATATGCATGTAGGACTCTGAGGACGAAGACGGAGATGTTCTCTAAACGTTGGGTTTTTTCGTGTTTTAACCATCTGACACGGGCTGGTATCCCTAGAGAACTTTATTAAATATTTAAATTGTTTGTACGTACGTATGTTCGCTTAAAATTTGAGAAGGGACAGACCAATTTACCGCAAACGTGGCACCTGTTAAACCAGGAAAATATTTTAGAGACGCGGCTTACTCATCGCCCTGATGGTGGAGGCAGCAGACACCTCTGAAACGTCGGTGAACTTTTACCAGACTACACGGCGCAACGGCCATCTTCAGTTAATAGGTGTCTTCCATCCACATAATTAGAAACTCTGTATAATTTAGACATGAGTAAAATGTTAAATGAATCTGAAAATAATGTGCACTTCTTTAAAATGTGATTTGGTAGATTATTTATAGTCTCACAAACCGCGACTGTACATTTGCAAAGTGGCCAAGGCAGCACAGCATCGCATTTCGTGTATGAAACATGGAAATTCTTTGACATAATCAATTCCCGTTCGCGTTTTACATTTACAACATTAGTGAATAAACAATTTTATTAATTAGAAATTACTTCAATCGTAAAATATGTAGGGACAAATACACATAAATTCATTTTAGTTCCGAAAGTTCTTTGTTTTCGAAACTGAATAGCTTTATCTGGGAACTGAGGACGAGGCTTAACGACGACCAACGATGGAGAGACACGTGTCACAGACTAAAGGTTAGGTTAGTCCGTGTTGCGTTGGTGTTACCCAGCAAACTCCAGCAGAGTGAGACTGCCTGTTGACATTTCACGAAACCTTTATTAGGATGAACCACCACCGAGTCCATTACGTCACAATACTCTACGCAGGTCTTCAGACATTCGTGCAGACGTCTGTGCAGGAGGTCCTCCAGAGCTCTGTCGTATTCTCTGGCGAGAACTCGAAGTCGTTTCGCTATCTTGCCATAATCACACTTCTTCTTACAATGAGGACAAGTTTTCAGGTTTAATAAATTGAGTCCAATATTCATTGAACAATGGATACATTTGTATCCTGTAACTTTTTCATGGAGTCTGTCCGCGGTTGGCCATTTCTCGGAACACGCTTCGCAGATGCATCGGAAGAAGTACTGTGTTTCTAAATATTTCTGCCTTTCCTCTAAATCATGTGACAAGAAATGAGGTCCGTAATTGTCGAGAATCTCGTCTCCTTTTCTGATATTCCTTATCGCCCTGACAATGCAGAGGCGTCCAATAGAATGACGCGCCACATTTGGATTGCAACTGTGGTTACAGAGACTGACTGTTGGATAAGCTCCTCCTCCTAATTCATTCTGTGTTGCATTTCTTACATCGCCGTCTGGTACGACGTGTTCTGTGATCTGATACGCGTTACACGAGCAACTTTGAAGATGCCTGAGTAAACTCGTGGTCATCTCTACGTCATCGGTCATATCTTGTGCGACATGACGAAGGCACTTCATGAGAAAGAACGCACTCGTCGCGCGTTTTAGTTTATCGGCTGGAGTTCGAGACCCGGAATTCGTCACCTGGCCGTGTACCGAGGCGTAGTCACTGGATAAAAACGGGAAACTCGCTGGAGAATTGACACTGCTCGGATAATCGCATCTCGGGTCTGATTCTGTACTGGTCGAATCTCGTTCGTGAGCCGAAGATTTCTGCGAGAGATTTCCGTCCCCACTTGTAGGATCAGCCCTGGCAAACGCTGTTACTGCAATACGGTACACGAGTAACGCCATCTTGCTTAGTTCCTTGGCACTCAGCAGATGGTGAAGAACATGACACTCGAAACGATGGTAATCTTGCCATCCTGTATCCCGACAATCTTCACTGCAATAAGAAACCTAGAACAAGGAGAAAAGAGATTGGATTCTTTTATATACACGTAATAAATTCCAAGGCACTCGGATATTTTAAAGGAACCCATTTATAGGTTTATTTGTTGAACTTTGGTTTAGGATGTTCTGTGTGTTTGTAGATCCTGCTACTTTGTTTGCTTCAAAAGCATATGGCCCGGCACTTAAGCTAAGAGGTTTAGAAGTTTTCGAATGACGTACTGAAGGATTAATAGTAGGAAGTGCGAACGAAATGCTTGTTATTAATGCTGTTTCATAATATCCGCTTAGAGGAACCGAAAAACTTTGCAAGTGCCTCGACAGATTCTATGCGCAACAAACCCTACACGCTTTGAACTTTTAACCCACTAAATATAAAAGTTTGCGCTCTGTAAGCGGATTGGAGGGAATTAGCTTCTCATTGCATTTTGTTTAAGTTTTCAGATGTGGTTGTTCTGAATCAAATATTATTGATTTTATGATGCTGATAATTTTAATAATAGAATTAATAATAAACCGCATTACACCTCATAATATTTGTCACTGATTTTCTGAGGATTTCCGTATTTTGTAGTAGAGTAAAACACATTTCCGAGGAGAAGACTTCTGAAATCCATTTTTAAACATTTCTCGCGTGTGACGTGATGCAAATTTCGTGTGGACGCACGTGCCCGAGCGTTAATTCTGAACTCTCTTGTTAGAGATCCTTATCACAACTTTCATTCGCTGATTGTGCCTCGACTTTACTCGAGAAAGTACATTAGCGTCATTTTAGTTGAATAAACAGCGAATTAAATATATTTTAAAATCATTTACTCACATTTTAGATTAGGATATTTTGGGATCAGATCGACGTATCTGAAAATCACTGTACGCCGACTGCGAAAGTAAAGACTTTCTTTATGGGACTGCATAATGGAGTTCCTGCTGGTTGCTGTGGGTAACCAAATGCTCATATTTGCGGTTTCCTGAAATTGCACTTTAATGCGTGCTTAGTGGTTACTAAAGGGGAAGTTACGGTTTGTAACACAAGACTGCGTTCGCGTGTTTGAGAGTGTTTACGCACTTGTTTACAAATTGAGAAAGTGAAAGCTTACCCTAAAGCGCAGTTCTGTTTCTTAAGGAGTGTGTTGACAATTATGTACCCACGAACGATTTCCTTGTGTAAAATTTAACTATTTCTAAGCAAAATCAAATGAGTCTTGTTTTGTTTCAAACTAAACAGTCAAAATAACGAACGTTTGCGCATAACATTTTGTCGCAGAGCGCAAAATTCTTGACAATAATGAATATAGCGGAGCAAAGTATTTTAATTGTAACAACGTTCCCCTGTCATCTTACTAAGATTTAAGTAAGTCGAACAGTATGAAACGTTTCAACTTTCTAAAACAAGTATATATTAAATCTTGTCCGTCTAATCACAATAAATTCTTATTAAATATTAAAATATTACAATAATTAACATTTAAAATATTTAAAATATTAAATGATGTTCTTTATCGAAATATTCGATTTACATTAGACAATCATTTTTCATGTTTCACGACATGTTTCAGTTCTAAAACAAAGTTGATGTCAATGCTTACAAATGATCTTCGCAGATTAAGAGACGCGTTCAGTGAAGTGATCTGTGCACGGTAATTAATTATGTGGGAAATGCAAGATATGATATAAGAGTTAGACGCTCGTTTCATCGCTTGCATCACAAGCCGGTAGGTGCGCTGGTATCTCGGTGAAGAAAATGGCGATTCTAATGCAGAAAGTTGATTTCGTGTTGTGGTTTCACGGAACCAAATCAGTGATGGCAGTGGAGATGGTTTCCACGACAGTTTGGGCTCTTTCCGTCAATTTATGTTCGATACAAGGAGTTTACACAGAGTTCGTGCGCGGTCCACCTCAGTCAACAAGACGTTCCAGCCGATGGAGTGGAAGTTTTGTAGCAAGCATGTTCTGTCAAAGTACTACGATTTTTAAATTTTGAAACAACTTAATCCAGACGATAATACTAAGCGTGCTATATTTTGTGCTGAAATGACGGAAAAAGAAAATTGCCGTAGAATCTTTCAGAAATGCGAAAGAACTACTTGACTTGTCTTAGAAAATGGAACCCACTGTTGTGGATTGCACTGGAGAGGAAGCATCCGTAAAGAATACAGCTGAGGTGACAGAGATTAAATATAGCCGATTTCCTGGAAGTGCTCCAACTTTGAAATACTGGCAGCATTTCTGCTCCAGTAACATTGGCAGAGGAAGTTAAAACATTACAAATCGCTTCACCGCTGTCTGTGGTCTAAGATATTTCGCCTGGGTTTGAGGACGACAAGTGTAGTTGCTTATACTGCAAAGAACTTTGGCCTATTTGGAGGGAGATTTACTGTTTAAGAGTGGCTGTACGTGTGAATATTTAAGAAATTATCCGGGAGATGAAACTGATACAAACATGTCTTAAAGTAAAACGAATCTAACAATATAATTTGTACTCGGATAACTTTTCTCAAGATTATTTTACAGAATAAACCGAGAGTTAGCCATGTAATGATAGAAAATGCGCTGTTAATTAAATGTTTGTAACCACCGCTCTAATCATCGGGCTTATAAGTAACTCAGGAAGGCCGGACATATCTCTGCAAACATTATTAGAAAGTACGGAACCTGTGAAAGATTTTGATGGTAATCCTGTGCGTTCCAGGGATTCTTTCTTCGAGGTTAAAGCGGCCGGAGTATGAACCTAATCAATTGTTTCCATAAAGTGTCGGCCTGGAGGAATCGAACAGTTCCTCGTTTAGGTTAATGAAAGATTCCGCTGCCGTGAAAGTTGCATAAGTTCCAGGGAAATGAAGGGCCGGACGTTACGGCTTACCGTGGAACACTGGGTGCACGGAATTGGTGCTGGTACGAGCCGGCAGCAATGGAGACATCGCTGGGCCATAGCTTCTCGAGAAAGGGCCCACGCGTAGGGTTCTTCCACGATCAATACGCTACCTGCACAGATACAGATACCATAGGCTTAGGGGACTTTCCCTCACACGGGACTCATTGGGGTGGGAAGATGGCTGTCTTCTGGGTTGTAGCTCCCTGTAGATTTGTCGCCCTGATGATGGAGGCAGCAAGGGCCTCTAAAACGTCGATAAACTAACCCAAAAGACAGCCATCTTCAGACTCACCTCCTCGAAAACCACAAATCCTACCGAATAAAATCTCTGTCCTACGTTGGGATCTGCGGTACATACAGGATTCCTTTCTAAAATAGACACGCTTTGCAGGTTCGTCGACAGTGACTGAAGAAATATTGCCATTTTGTGATTAGAAACATTTTTAATTCATTTAAAAACACGAAGGTTGCTGAAATAATTACTGTAATCATCAGGTTTGAACGTGTGACAGCGAAACTGTAATCTGCTTCAAAATAGATTACGAAGAACCTAACCTACCCATAAGTAGGCAAATTGACCATAATGTGACAACAAATCCTTTCGAAACGTCAGTATCCACCTAGAATACTACGCGATGTAATAACCCATAGATCAAAATGCGAATGTTGTTGGCCGTGCACTGGAGTTTTGCATTTCTCAGAGCCAACAGAATTAAAAAATTTAAGTGACGTGAGAGAGAAAAACTGACCTATTTTTATATTCCTCGTGGCTTCCATGTAACGTCCCTTCTGCGGCGAGAAGCAGAGTCTCAGGGCCGCGGAGGCTGCTGGTATATCGGCGTTCTTTCCATACGTTACTTCCGGTATCCCCCAGCTTCCGGATCTGGGCTCCGAGTCAGTCTTCTTCAATTTCTTCTGCTGCGAAAAACAGAAGTGATCGTACTTAGGTTAAGGCTTGAGCGTGGCAGGACTCTCTTAAGTGCCCTGTCGCACGTCTGTCATATAACGTCGTAATTATTAGCACACATTATGGATGAATCTGTAGCCGTAGTAAATTTGAATTTTATAAATTCCTAAAATCCGGTTTATGTTCACGACGCAGTTTAAAAATTGTTGGCTGAAATAATTTTCCGATTTATGATTATTTAAACAAGTTGTGTGAAATTTAATTGAGAATTTCAAATAGTTGTGTGAAGATTGTTGGACGATGTGTTCCAACAAGAAAAAATTTCCATAGGAAAAATTAAATATTGTGATCGTGTAGAGAACGACGAACATTTGCAGACAACCGGAAGACATGCCCGGAACGAACACGAACATATTTAAAGTCGAGGTTATCCATTTGTTCAGATTGCATGACAGGGATTATAATTGCAGTTCAAAATTGAATCAGACAGACGTGCCATTTCAACTGAAGCATGTCTATCTGGTATTTGGTAAACTGAAGGCTCCTGTATAATAAGCCTTTGTTTACTTAGCTATCATATGTCATTACTTGGAAGAGATATAAAATAATTTGCTCTTGTGCTCTCCACTCAATAATATCCTAACAAGATTTTTATTAATACACATAATAACTCGCCCTCCATATCTTTGCATCATAACAGCAGGCTCTCCTTTCTCATTGGGTAATAGTTTCGGGCTTATCACCGCCGTATTATCTGATGATCAGATTGATAACCGTCAGATGGCCGGAGCTTGTAGCACGAGAAACAAGAAAGAAAAGTACACAGAAATTTTTGATGGGGAAACATGAAGAGAAGAGACCATTTGTAAGACATGGGAGGAAAATATTCCGTAAGGAAATGGGGTGGCAGGTTGTGGACTGCGCTGGTCTGGAACGGAATGTCTTGATTAATTGAGTGGCTGTCAGCTTCTCATGCAGGACTATGCCCCATGTAATTAGCGCGGACTGAATGTGTTTGTCGAAGGGCCGATGCCTTTACGAAACATGTAGGCAAAATATAATTCGATTCCATGCACCAACACTTATGCACTGACGTAACTCGAAGATTGTTGTCTTCTGGGTTATTGCGCTGTGTAGTCTGGTAGATTTCCACCAACGTTTCAGAGGTCATACTGCCTCCGTCATCAGGGTGATGAGTATGAAGATTTCTGTCTTCTGGGTTGTTGCGCTGTGTAGTCTGGTAGATTTCCACCAACGTTTCAGAGGTCATTCTGCTTCCGTCATCAGGGCGATGAATATGATGTAACTTAATTGCAAATCACATTCCTTGTTTTTAAATATGCCTCTAGGCTTATGAAACATCTTCGTGTTTCAATTGAGTGAGGGACTTCGGTGCTAATTGATGTAAATATTAATTATGTGACTTAATGCAAACCATCTTTGTTTTTCTCAGTCCCTCTCAGTGGTATACCGATGTGACGGCAGTTGGGACTTCGTAGATAAGGCGACTGAAACTTGAAAGTTGGTGTGGTAATGCATCTTAAAAGTAATCCTTTTCTCTTGAGTAATTCTTTGGTGATACGCGAAGTTAGCTTTTGATCTGATTATGACAGATAATAACCACTGTGGGTATGTGGAGTTGTACTCCTAGTGTTGCTTTCAATTTTCATTTCGGATGTAAAGTGAAGGTACAACCCCTGCTCAGCTGTTGTTGAAGTTACATGAAGTTGTGATTATAATCCTTGCACTGGCGTTATGTTTCGAGGCATTAAAACTACAGAACTCTCGTGTAACACAATCTAGTGATAGGATGTGAGGTTTTCTCGGAGATGAGTCGTTCTGATGATGGAGGCAGCAGGGACCTCCGAAACGTCGGTAAACTTATACCAGACCACGCGGCGCAACAACCCAATCTTTTAGTCATGATTCATCGGGGCAGTGCTGTCAATTATCCGTGACAAACGAGGGTGTTAAAGCCTGGAAGTTGGATTCCATTTAAAGCCAACATTTGAACACACCGTGTAGTTGTTTTTATGTGAAATGATGACGCAGCCGTTCGTTTCACATGTGAGGGAGAAGTTTTAATTTGCTTAAAAGGTTAGAGTTGCAGACCACGTGGAGGCAGAAGCAGGCTTGTTAGAGCAGACAATCAGCGTTGCTACAGAATTCTGCGTGTTTGCAATCTCGTTCTGGGGGGGATAATTTTATCTGTATGGCTCTTTGTCGTGCATCATAACTTTGATTGTTTTTGCATTAGTACAAATGAATGTGACACAAGCAATGAATTTAATTGTGATGTCATGTAATAACCAATGATTCTCTAAAGCTGTGTTTTATAGACATGTCCACTGTCCGTAGTTCGATTTATTTCAACACGTTTCGTAATACGGATCTCTTCTACTCATTATAACTGGATGCCATGGCAACGCAGCGGAATGCATTTGATACTGATAAAGGTGTTTATAATAAGGAATGTGTCGGTTTTAAGTTCCTTTTCAAACGAAACGAGAACTCGCCATGTCTCTGCAGTTGACAGACACTTTTAGTCGGGTACCCATTTGAAATCGACTGACGATGTACCATGTAAAGTATACGAAGAGCTGTGGAATGTTTGGGTGACATAAGGCTCTCTTTCTCGTTATGATGATTTCTTTCATTCAAGTTCACATGTCTTAAAATAAATTTATATTGCAATTGTATATCCGTGACCTTGAATATAAAATACAGCTGAAGTCAATATTTTCGTGATTAAATCTAAAATTTATCAAAATTACAATTTTAAATAAATGAATTCGATTTTTTCCCCTGTAAAGATATAGCAGGGAACAGTTCATGTTCAATGAATGAACACTTTTTCTGTGAGGCGCAGAAACGTCGATATTTGTGGAGGTAATCGTTTCTCAGTTTGCTGTTTCTAATTATGCAGAGACACATTAATTGTTCCTGAGCGTGTAGAATTCCATTTACGAGTTGTACTATTTCGTGTCCTCACGTTTAGCAGAACGGAAATAAAGTTAGGAATTGATTTTTCATAATCGTGTGTAAAGTGGAAACGTAGTTTACGGAGGGTTTCGAGTGGACGACGTTGTAACCGTGGATTAATAATACCTTTAAGTTGTCCTGTTGTTTTTCGTGGTTGATCGTCTTGAGCTGCGAAATGATTTCTCCAGTCATTGAAGCTTTGACATTATTTTCTAACTCCGAATTTCGTAGTTTGTCCAAAGCTTCCTGAAGAACTTTCTCTGCCTGGTCCCATGCGCGTTTGTGTTGGTGACAAGATGCTGCAAGGGACAGGAGTTTGATGGCGTCTTCCGGAGGTAACTGGAAGCCGAGCGCTCTCTTCACGTCGCGAAGGGCGAGGTCTGTGTCACCCGTGCGAAGAAGTACTTGAACCCGTCCCTTGTAACTTCGAGCAAGGCTCATGCTCCCTTGAGGAGCTACCCTGATAGCTGAAGTGTAAAGCTCTAACGCTTGCTTGGCGGTGGCGTGTGCTGGATCTATGGTTGAGGCTGCGGTCTCTAGATTAAGCTTATCTCCCCGGAGTCTGAGCTCCTCGGCAAGGGTCTCACACTTCCCGGAGAAACCATCTGTCACACAGAAGTCTTGGAGTTGAGGCAAAGCGAGAATCATTGCTACCCGCTCCCTGTCGCACGTCAGCCTTGCAAATGCTGTCAGAAAATCTTCCTCATTTCTGGCAATCTGCCAGACTTTGTCCAGCAGTGAGTCGAATATGGACATCTGGAAGCATTAAGTAAGATTTGAATGAGCGGTAATGTTTCAGAACAGAATGTATTACTAATTTATTATAGCTGTTGTCATGATTTGTTTATAAAGGTAGTTATTGGTCTAATGACTTACAACCTACTGTCAGCCATAAATAGAGAACACACCCACACACACACGTGTGTGTATATATTAATTTATTTAGCTTGTAATTAGGAGTTGAATAAAATGTTTTAGCTTCAGGCATTTGCATTTTGATAACCATTCTGTTAGGAAACTTTAAATTATTTTAATTAAAACCCAGATCGAGCGATCAGCCAAGCATGCACATTTTCAATATAAATATTACCTCGTAACCGCAGGATTTAAAGCATTCATACCATTGAGAACTTTTATACCATTTGCCTGCCCATTTGAATTCAGATATCGTGCAATGAAATTATTCGCAATCTGTTAAACTTTGACCCTCAGAATCATATTCAATTCGGAAAAGTACATTGAAATGTATTGGTGCAAGTGCACTTACGATAGAGAAAGTGGGTCATTTATTAGTAATGGAAATACCGTGAGATGCTTGAAGTGATGGATGCGAGGCTGGAAATGTTAATGCATCCTATGCCGCTTGAGATATTTAATAGATATAATAACACAACGGAACAGCTGCTAAGCTCAGGGTAATTTTATACTCCACGCCATTGAAGGAAGTTAACTATCTGTTTACGTCTTACGTACAAAGATGTTTGAATGTAAATGTCTTGTGATCCGTTCAGATGGTATTAAAGTCTTTCGGCACGTATTGCGACGAAATATTAAACCGATGTTCTTATGTTTGCTAATGCCTTCGTTATTTTCTGTAGGCGAAGAAACTGAGACGCTGGATGCCATCTCTTCCATGGCACCCCCCCCCCCTCAAGTACCAAAAACTATAAACTATCCTGATAAGCATTTACAAATTAAATGTCGTATTAAGTTACATTCAGAGATACTTCTCAGAACAGAAATTGCAAGGCCACGCCCACACCAAGAACTCCAGTACTTAAAATAATAGCTGATACATACAACTTCTAATTGAATGATCGATATGAAATAATATCGATGAGGGATTCCTCCGGATTTCGGTTTTGTTTGAGTACTCGATAATGAATATTTTATTCACAAAGGAACCGTACATCTTGTTTTACCCTTTCGTATTTCCGAAAACTTGCCGTCTCATTCTTGTTTCCGTTTGGTAACGGCAAGGTACGTTCGTGTTATTGCGAATTCTTGTGTCTGTGAGAAGAGAGACGGAGAGAACTTCGAGGCCTCCTGCTTGTTGTCTCTCATTTTCCTGACAACTTTTGAAGACGAGAGAAGCCGAGTTGGTTGACCCGAGTCTTAAACGTCGAAGGAATTGTGCGTGGCTTTTCCTCGATTGTTCTGACCTGGGCGCACGAAACACGAGTTAAAAAATTCCAGTTGCGAATTCAAGTACAGACGAGAAAACAGAATGAATTTTCTAATGGGATTACGACGTTTTGCATGTAAGAGTTCGCACGCTTCATACTCCGTTATCTGTTCTACGCTATAACACGTTTTCAAATCACATCTCTCACTCACTTCTTTTGTCCTATATTAACTTAAGTCAAATTAAGGCTTTATACTTTATGCAGCTACAACTAACGAATAACAATTAAACACATGAAGATTAATATTTTTTTGCATTCCGACGTTTCTACGTCTCCACTACGCTTCATGTCCTGCTCGCTGCGTACTGGAACATTCATCAGCTTCCAAATTTGTTTAGAGCAAAGAGACGTTAGGTTAGGTT